TTGGGGAGAAATCATCGACTGGAGGAAGTGGCTCGAGACTACCCTCAGCACGGGAGCACGTGGAGAAGTGTAAATTATTGGTGATGACTAGAGACCCTCCAGGCGAAATCCTCATCTACACTGTGTATCGAGTCAATGGAAACATCGATTGTGGTGCTGAAAATGACAAGGAGAGCGATGATGTGGAGTATTCTGCAGAAGCCTGCAATATCAAATTGGTGAACACTGAGGATAGACCCAGTCTTCGCAGGGTGGTTAACAAATCGCCAGTTCACAAACAAACTCACTCGGGAAATCTTTTCAATCTCACCGTACGGTGCGTTGTACGACAGGAGCATGTGGCGCTTGCATTTCTCGTATACAACATTTACAACAAGAATCAGACAAGTGATCAGGACACACCTTATAGCGTCTCTGGTGAGAACGGTTAGAATGTGGATGCGGCGAACGGAAGCGTCTTCCAATGTGATTTCCACCCCTAGTGGATCATTGCTAACACATATTCTGATCAAGTTGAACATCACTTGGAGAGCACATGTTAACATTGGATCCAGTGTGCAGATGCTAGGGAGTCTGGGGAATAGCAGTCGGCCGGAGATAAATTGTACCTATCAACAAAATATGTCCAGTAGTCCAACAAGACTGCCCAGCGGTTTCCGCATACAAATTCATGAGGACGATGCAGCGTTTAGTTTGGTGAAGCAATCTGCCTCATTCACCGACTCAGGTATTTACGCATGTAATATCACTGATACTGAGTGCCAAACTTGTCAAACTTCACTTGGATTTACCCGTCGTCAACTCACTGTGATTCCCGATGAAAGCACTTTGTTCATCTGTGTGAGCCGATCACGCTTGCCGTTCGATGGGAGCAACAGTGATGACAAGATGAAAGTAGTCAAACGCCTCAGACAACTAATAAACCCTAACGAGAGTAGTCATGATGACATTAATGACAAGGAGCGAACTACCCTACTCTTGCTGGACGAGATTCACTACGTTCACTGTATCTATGTGTTGCCATACACATACATTGGTGAACGATCCATCCATCCAATTCACATACTCCTCGACATCTCCCAACGGATCACGTCGAATACCGCTGAACTACAAAAATCACTCGAATTTCATCATCGATGAAGCCTTCTACATGACTGGTGTGGAGATATTCGAAATAACCGGTCCATACATGGATAAGTATATTGGCCAATTAAAAGTCCAGTGTGAGTTGAAAATCCCCAAACTACTTCCGCCCATACTGTCACTCGCGAAGAGAATGTATCGTGGCGTCACTGTGACAAAATCGTTAGCTCTTCTCATGGAGTACCGAATAAAACCGGAGATCTTTTCTAGCTTCACAACGACAAATGCTTTACCCATCCAGTCGAAATTCAAGAGTTTATCTAATGAAACGATTACTACAGAATCCATAATACCTGAGGGCGGTTCATCTATAAGTAGCAATATATTCCTAGGTGTACCCGTCGGTGTGAAATATGGCTGGTTGGTCTTCGAGGATAGTGCAACAGTGACAACTGATGATTATCAGATTGACGAGATTCAGAGTATCCAGAGTATGCAAATATCTGAACCGATCAAATCGGTGAGGGCAGTTCAAGTGGCTGGTGGCCAGAATTTAGTTAACCTGACTACACAGAAGACTACATAAAGAAAGCAGAGGATTTACTCAACGATAATAATGTATATCAACAGTTGACAAAAAACCCTATACAAAAATTAGATAACAAAATCAGAACAACGTTAAATAGACTAACGAAATCAGGACAAATTATAGAACAAGATCAATGGCGAATGAAATCTAACGGACCTATTTTACCTCGATTCTATGGTAGACCAAAACTACACAAACCAAACATTCCCTTACGATCAGTCATTTCGCTTCCAGGAACACTAACATATAATCTATCTAAAGAACTTTCAGGAAATTAAATTACGTAACAGAATCATGCGACCATTCTATCAATTCGTCAATCCAATTTTTAGAGAAAATCAAAAACATTCAAGTTGAAGACAATGAAATAATGGTGTCCTTTGATGTCACAGCATTATATACTTCAATTAGTCCAAAACTAGCAACAGAAACTATGCAACAATTACTCTATAGTGATGAAAACACAAAAACGCAATTATCAACTTGGATAGAACTCATAAAATTATGCCTTACAACATACTTCCAGTTCAATACTCAAATATATGAACAAATAAAAGGAACACCAATGGGATCGCCCATATCAGGATTAATAGCTGAAGCCGTTATGCAAAGATTAGAATTAATAGCTCTACCTATAATTAGACCGAAAATCTGGATGCGTTATGCTGATGATACATTTGTAATAATTAAGAGAAATGTTTTAGAATATACTCATTAATTAATAAACAACATATTTGAAGACATCAGGAGAACCAACACAGGAGATTTAGAAACACAAGTATATAGAAAATCAACTCATACAGATCAAATACTCAACTATACTAGCAATAATCCAGTTACTCACAAACGAAACTGTGTACAGACATTGTTTAAAAGAGTTCAAACACATTGTAGCACTCCAGAGTTGAAAAGAATGGAAGAAAAGTACCTACAAACGGTCTTCAAAAAGAATAGTTATCCACAAAATTTCATCAAAAAGTGTTTAAAGTCGAACCAAAACACCAACAAAGAACCATCACCAAAGACCACAAGAAAATTCATTCCACCATACATGAGAAATATCTCTGAAATAACAGCTAGAATACTGAAACCGTTTGATATAGATATGGCACACAAGCCAGTCAAATCGCTTAATTCGATATTATGCAAACCAAAAGATCCAACAGAAAAAGGGGATAAAATTAATACCATTTACAAAATAAGTTGTATGAACTGCAACAGGCACTACACTGGCCAAAGTGGGTATCCCCTTCGAATTAGAATCCAAGAACACAAATCAGCCATGAAAAGACACGATATGTATTCTTTAGTATCAATGCATATAGACAGTTATGGTCATCAATTTGATTGGGATAATGTCAGAATCTTAGACAGAGGAAACACCAGAAGTGCCAGGGAATTCCTAGAAGCCTGGTACTCAAACGAAAATGCAATTAACAAACACGTTAATATAGACGAAATATACCAACTAATAAAAAGTAAATCAGGTGACCAGAAAGTTTAAAATCCAAGTCAATAGAAAATGGTCAATATATATGTAAAGATAGTTACCAGGAGACGCAATTATATCACTCATGAAGAAATTTAAATCATTTCACTTTATGCTAAATATTGCGCTGAAGATGTTGTCCAGAAGGACAACGAAAGCTCCTCAACTAAACCAACCAGCTCAGAGAACACTATTAATTGCAAACCTGACTATGTATTGTAATATGAGACAAGAGCACTCAGCGCTAGCGATTGCAGTGATCAGTGTCTATGATAGAAGTGTGTACAATCATGTTGTCGCCAACTACGTGAGAAAGTCCTTAGTCGTGACAATCAAGTCACTTTTATCGGACAGCAGGAATTCAGTGTCGAGCGGTTTTGTTGCACTGAGAGGATGCTTATCAACATGGGGGCTGATCAAGCTGTACGTCGGTTGGAATGCCTCAGTGAGGATCGGATTAGAGATACGCATGCTTGGAAGTTTACAGAATGCTTCGAAGGCGAGATTGTCTTGCACTCATCAGGCTAATGCGTCAAGCGATCCATCAGACCTACCAAAGAATATGGTGGTTAGCTACCCACACACAGGTGTATTCGCCTTGTATAAGTCATCAGCTGAGTATGAGGATTCCAGCATCTATAAATGCACTGTCAGTTCATGCGGCACTTGCACACGATATGTCGGCTTCACGTCTCGTCAACTAGATGTTATTCCAGACAAATCGGTGATAGGAATCTATATGTCGGATGAACTGCCAAAGAGGTTGGGAATCCTGAGAGATGGGAAATCTGGGCAGGAGACTTCAGACGCAAGGAACTGGTGAAATATTCCACTGCATCCGGTCCTTTCGTGTGATCTGGATCAGTATTAACCAGAGCGAAAGCCAATCCCATGTGACTTGGCTGTACCCAACAAGAGAAATTGAACTGGAATGCACTCAAACCCTTGGCAGATGGGTACTTCGAGCCATATACACGTGCAAACTGCTCATTCGAATATCTGGATTTCGTCAGGTCACACTCGTGCTTGTATATTTTTCTGTGACTATACTGGAGTAGCCAGACTAGAGACAAAGTATCGACCGGATCAATCAATCCAAGAAATGTGCCATTCAAATAACCGACACTGATGTGGATAATGAATTCCTTTTGGAGGAAGCGGTGAACTCCTCTGGAATTAATCAAATTTTGTCTGAAGAATTCATTCACTTGTTCATCAATGATGATCGGTGTTAAAACCCATGTCGTCAGTATTTCCATTGACTGTGATAACCGAATTTTCGAAGCATCGATATTCGTCCCATACCCATCAACGTGTAGTGTCTGATGACGATGTGTACATGTGATGTTCTGATGCGTTACTTGGTGTAGAATCGGTTGAGAGTGTATCTCATAGGAATATGTGTGCCAGTCGTAATCATTCATTTCTCTGACATGTGTTCCATACACCTTGTAAGGAAGTTCTTGACTGGCTGTCTGTTTCATAGCATCAATATTCGTGTAAGTGAATGAAATATCAGGATTGTGAATTATTGAATGGACTGGTGCAAATTTACAGTTCACTACCATACGTAATGCCTTCCTCACAACAGGACTACCGAATACATCATAGAAATAGTTATCCGTCTCACTGGGTAATATTGTGATGTTAATTTGAACACTTTTGAATGTCGGCAGAACAATAACACGATAATAATGCTGATAAATTTTGCCATCAATTTCCACTGCGCATTGATAATACGGTGGTGTTTTGGTTTGGGCTACACCGGTGTATAAACAGGTGGGTGACTGAAACTTGAGTAAGGACGAATCAACATATTCTTGGGTTGGTTGTTGAACCTCATGGTACAAGCAATGAAATTGTTTCTGAAATGTCGTGATAAATCTTTGATTTCAATTTCACTGCAAATAGTCTATAATCGGTGTCGAGATCTTCATTCAAGTAGATGTCGAATTCTTTCTCATTTACTCTATTGTAGAGAATAGAAATCTGGTGACGTATATCGCTCTTAACTCTATCCATATTTTGTGTCGTAGTTGTGTACACCATTATTATTCCTGAACGATTTATCTCACAAGCGAATTTCGCAATTCCAGTCCACTCCCAATAATCATATTTAATTTGTATACCCTCAGTGAACCCTATTGCATGTTCGTTTCCATTCAGTTTCGTATAGGACTTAGAAGTACATCTTGCTTCTGTATCCTTGTTTAGGAAGTATGCATAGATCTCATATTCAGGTAGTAAGAATGTTTTGCATTCAATGTACAGTGTTTCTGGTCGAGACACATTTACAGGAGAACCAAAGATTTCATCTTTATGATAGAGTTGTGTGGCTTTATGCTTTGCAATATAAGTGTAGAGTATATTTCCTGAAGAGTCTTTTATAAATTCCCCATTAATTTCATAGGGTAACTTCAAAAGTTCACTGCACGATTTAGCATCATGTGTTAACGGTTGAAAATAATAAACTTCACCCTCAGGGGTGTTTAACAATACTATTAACACAGCTTTGTTGATATCAATATATGTCATGTGTGCAGACAAGTAAATTCGATACCAGCTACGCCTTGAAATTAATACACTAACAAAACTTCCAGGGATTTCTTCTTCATCATCTGAAGGGCAACAATCATCCCGCGTCGTGTAACACTCCGACCGTACTGACTTTTCATCAGTTCTTACCAGAGAAACAGAAACAATTTTACTAACATAAAAAAATCACTATATAATGAGAGTATGTAGGATCTTCGTAGGTAGATTTAATGTATTCTGCGAAATCATCTTTCAAACGATCAGAATAATAATCAACTCGTCTGTATCCTTTCGTATGTCTGCACACTCGACTTGCATTTGTCACTTCAATGAGGCATAAAACACTTATAACAAAGGAGGATGTGATGAATAAGTTCATCAATAAATAGGTCAGTCAGTCAGTTAGTCTGTCAGTCAGTTACACACAAGAAATTCACTAGTCATAACATCAACATACTGAACACCCAAACGATATTTTCAAAATGACAATCGATAGAATTTATCGACTCAAATAACTCACACTCTGATTAGATGGACGCAGATAACAGGCAGATATTTTGAACTAGGGACTGGCGAGATTACTATTATTATTATCACTATTATTATTTTTATTCCGTTCGGTTCCGAGTGGAATACACGGAGAGCTGCAGCACAACGTCTGTTATCACCTCCATGGTGAAACTATATGTGAACTATGAAACGAGACATCCCTGATGGACGTCATTTGTCGTTGTCACATCAGACAGCAACTCCTAATAAAACCCGACTGGTTTCAGGTTGAAGGCATTGTCAGTGTGTCCTCATTCAGACTTAGAACTTGGCTATCACCTTACAGTTTGTTCCTTCTCGACACTGAATGTCATGAGGAAATTGTGAAAGGAGTAAGCCACTGTCTGATAGTCATATCTGTACTCTCTCCCACTACCTGTCCTCTCAATCCTCTCGTTTATGACCTGACTCTACTGTATTTCGCGCATCACAATATTCATTGTAGGAGTAGCTAAGACGGAAATATTGGTGAAGGATTCATCCCTTTCGACCTCTGCTCTGCCGATTACGATAACCAATTCGAAAATGAGGAAAATTGAAGACGCCAAATCAAGTGATTTGTTGACTTTCGGTATAATTTAATCTATTACCACTAGTTTGGTTCGTTGAACTTCCCAGAGTTAAACTGTTGTCAAATTCTGTTTTCAAACTGGTTCCCTATAGTCTGCGTTGAGCAGAGATGAAACCACCTCGAATAACATCCAGTACAATTACGGAAGTTACAATTACTTGAATCTAATCAAGATGATTTTGAGGGAGATATTGTTATCGATAACTTCTTCCTCAGGCTGTGGAGTTATAAATCCGTGAAAAATTAGAATACAAATGGCCAGTTAGAGGCAAATGAAAATTATATCAGAAACTGTCTGTATTGGCGTACATGTATAAGATGGAATGATAGTCCGTTAGTTAGCAGTGTCAATTGAATGTATAAGATTAGATGTGATTTGGGTGACATACTAATGCATTTCCAATCAACAGAATATACGTTTCATCAAAATAGATGAGTCATTTACGGTTGTATATCGAGTAGGCATACACCTCCACATTCATACTCCTTGCTTACGCCAGCTTACTACAAGGTCATCAGGGAGAAGTTAGAATACACAGGCCATTGAATTAGTTCCCAGTGGCTGAATGCCATATGGATCGCCCTGTGATCGGAAGGTCATGGATGCAAAACCCCAGTGGGTGCGTAATGCCGATGACTCCCAAATTAGGATGAATGTCAGCTGTCCAGTACTCTGTGGTTTCCCATTGGTTTTCTAACTGATGTCAGCTCATGATGAAATCCTCCAACCATCATATGAGGCCTTTCTTATTCATTATCACCCAGTTCACTTCACTCCAATAAAGTCCCTAAAATGTGTCAACCTTCGAAGTTTACACCAAACATATCATGTGTCTTCATTTTCATCATTACACCTGTTAACTGTCAGCCCTGGAAACCACATTCGTTGTGCCTCATTTGTTTGTAGGAATTTTGTAGTAATCATTTTTCTCCCACACCACTGAGCACATCTCATCATCCTCCACGATGAAATATTTATTCCATTACATAAAAGAACAGAAGTGAATAGCAAAGAAACTTTCGATGGTGTTATTAGAAGACGGGGATTATCTGAATAACGATGTGATTTTGCATCTGAGCAATACACTTCGAACATTCTGATCACACACACACACATACACACATTTACTTGTCTAGTCAATTTATATGAAAACATAAAAGCCAATTGAAGTACACAAAGTGGCGAAACACATTTAACAATAATAAGAATAATTAACACAACGCCTGGCTATCCAATCAGATAAGGATTACCAAGGTAGGTTGGGAGTAATAATCAATTGTTTATGAACACACAGGAGAGGGGCTTGAGTTTATGAAGTGTTTTGCTCTCAGCGTATTTCAATAGTCGCCCTTGACCACTTCTATAGAGGACCTGAATAGCTGTGTCAACATCAGTATTATGATTCATGTTGATTCGATGTTCCATAGGCTAACACTCGCTTCCATCGAGTTTTCCAATGTTCACCTGTCTTCCTCACCATTTCGGAATATGCTCTCACACTCTCACATGCGAAGCGCCATTAATCCTGCCTATGCGTGTGTTTCCACACACACAAACATACAGGTAAATTGGTAAATCGTGAGGAAAGTGACCTAATCACTTGTTCACTTCTGAGGTTCGCGATGGAGCATACTTTCGGCTTTTTCAATGATTACAAGCTGGGATGCATAACCGGTCCTACGGATGACCGAGTTCAATCTCTGTCTCAAAATCCGATTATTTGTTTCGCCATTGTAAGGTAATTCGATGAAGACATCTTTCTTAGGGGCGGAATAGATTGCAGGTTTCAAGACCAAATGACTTCTACACCTGTAAAACAGTTTCAGAGGATGTCCATCCCTTTTTTCAACAAGAGTATCCATCAATCTCTTAATTTCCATCCTCTATGAAATCAACCATCGAGACACGCTGGATCTTCTTGAATAAACACTTCACAAAGCCTCTCTTATACTGTAGTGGACTGAAGCTGTGAAAATTTGAGTATTGCTCCGTCCAAGTAGGTGTAATAGGTTTCAATAGATAAATGTGATAGAAGAAAGGAATTGAGGGAGCTGCCCAAAGCCTGCTCAACAACGAACCACCGCCTTGCCAGCTTAGTTAATACAGATGCATGAAATAAGCAGTGAGTCTAAAGCTTGACCATAAGTGTTATCAATTCTAACGCGGGAAGGCAACATGGTGGACGATATCTAGTTTGTCCGTTGATTTCATCCTTTTGTGTAAGATAAGGCTTACTATTTCACCCTAATATTGTTAGACATTATGTGCCATATTCCTGTGTGAATACAAAGTTTCCTAAAACTAAGTAATATCGGCGAAATCACCTTATAATTGTACAACGTTGGTGGCAGACAGACTGTATTCCTGTTCAGTGTAGCTATACAAGTTAGTGAGATATTTTATCAAATCGCAGTATAAATAAGTATTTTGTTGAGAAGATCCATCTACGAAAAGCACAAATGTCTATCATCTTTACAAATTGTGTTCCTGTATGCAGAAAGAGAAACCCCGGATATTCCACTCTGTCTTTGCTCGAGGATCCGGAAATTATGCAGCAAAGAGTCAGATGACGCGGAATTGTGAAATCTACGAGGAATCTTGATAGAAAATGGTGTGCCTTCACTCACATTCATAGGTGAGGATCCATAACCGAAACAAGAAAAAGCGATTGGAAATTTCCATTTCGCCCGCCAGAAAGATGCAAATGCCTAACTTAGAATTCAAAAGTGGTACTGAAGCAGAACTCCCTTGTAGACGGCTTTCTAAATCTCTCAGAAGGACATACTTCGCCACCAGCCTACGAGTAACACTTTTCTGCGAGTAACTATTCAAGCAGTGTGTGAAAGACAAGCTGTAGCACTGAGCCACTTCAAGACGCATATACCAGTTCACTTGCTCGTGTGGAGCTGAGTGCATTGGTCATAACATTTGTCCCCCTGTAAAACGCGCTCGGGAACACTATCCAGCATGGTCAGCAAAGGGAGAACGAAAAAGGTGAATATAGCTCGGTAATACAACACCTGGTGAATTCAGGACATTCATCTGCATTTGAGAAGTCCTTCAAAGTCATATAAGAGATCCGATCAAACCTCTCAATAGGAGTGAAATCAAAGCATCTGGCTGAGCATAGCTGAGGCACTAGCGATCAAAAACTCCAATGACACGCTATGTATTCAAAAGAAATATGTCTGTCCAGCCGTCGTGCCCACCATCGCCACCACGAAATGTTCAATTCTCTGAATACTCTTTATCCCATTACCTTTCTTATCCAATGCTTCTGACTATTTCTGTTATTTCAATGTGTTTTGAATTCCTCGCTGCATTACTATGCTTTTTATGCGAACTTCCGGCCTATTTAATTATTGCAACATCCTTAATCCTTTGTTGTACAAAAAAAGTTAAGCTTCTCAGTGAGCATCGTCTCTTACTGTGTTATTTCTCCGATCTTCCTGTTTACCACCCTTTGTAATTTTATTAATTTGACCCTCGACGAGAAATAGTTCCAGGACTTTCTCACCCACTTACTATAAATACACGAATTTACAGCCTAGTTGACGATGACTAGGTCGAGAAGAAAATTCTCATCACTGCAACAGCCTTTTCATTAATTCCCATGATCTAATATGTATACTTTGTGGAAACATTATTATTTTAAAAAATGAGTGTTAATAGTAAAGTTGTTTGTTTCTAAAATCTAAATGAATTACACAGTTAAGGAAGTAGAATGAGTTCTTCTCAAAACATGTTTATGAATACTGTTACTGTCATGGATTTTGTTTGAATCGTCCAGTGAATAAATACCAATTGGACAGTCAGTGAGGCGTCTAATTTAAATGGTACATGAATACATACACACTCAATTGGAAGGCCGCCATTATAGCTGCAATCAGCCATGAATTCGATTCCGGTTTAACTGTACGATATTTGGAGAATGCTTGATAGTACATGATAACACTGAGTACTGCACACACAACTGGAAAAAACAGTCAAAAGAATTAATCACATAGATAGGCGAAATAAGACAGGTGAGCAATGATTATTATTAGATAAATGAGGCTACACTGATTAACTTGATGTTTGCAAAATATATCAACTTCATATTGTAAATATTTATGCTGAAGTGTGACTGTCATGCTCCAAGCTGTTGATGTGAATTACGAGGTAGGGAAATTATCCAACAGTAGTGATCTGTGCCTTCTGAAATAGTTTAGGCAATGATATAGGCCGGTAGGTAGATCTAAGTGAATAGAGGAAGATTTTCGGTAATCAAGATACATTGCTAAGTACACTTCACTATTCACAAATTAGTAAGTAATTGACAGTGGATACAGTTCAACGGAAGGAACATTTCACAACAGTTTTCTTGGGGAAACACAAAACATCACCGGTTGAGATGTGACTGGTATACAACCAGTCGTCTGAATGAATCTGTAGTATACCGTTTTATGCGAATATGCTCGCCCTCTTCATTGCCATTTACAGTATGAAACGGATCTTATGCTGTGTGTGTGTGATCTGAAAAATTTCGGTTTCCGATGAGAAGTGTGGTGGAAATGGCAAATCGCTAACTAATTAACAAATCGTGAATCTGATCTATTGAGTGACCAGTTCACCCAATTAACTGATTCGCTCTATCTCTGAATTGAGTCAACCGGGATTCATAGCGGTGGCGAGCTCGGTGCAAAATGAAGGAAACTACCGTCTGACGGTTTGATCACCTCGATCTGCCTAGCTGGCCAGTGAGCACTGCTGGCTGATGTGAGTGGTACACAACTACTCATCTCAATCAATCAGTCGTATACGAGTTGTCACAAAGATGAGTCCGTGTCAAAACATTTTTGCTGAGCGATACTCTACTACATTTTATTCAAAGCCATTGGCGAAGGCATGATCATGCACACGTCCACTTAGCTTCACACATAAATACAAGCATGATGAATGGGGATGGGCAAGTCAGTGTAATTGAAAGTAGTCCTGAGATGCATTCCGCTTTGATGATGTCATGCTTGAAACATGCCAGAAAGACACAAATCTGTAAAGCAAGATTCACATTGAATGATGTAGTTTAACAGTGTGGAGACATGAAACCAATGTCCCATGATTTAGGTAGACAAACGGAATGAATCAAACATGCGTATGTTAGCAGTAACATGTTGGACATATTACAGTGTCTACCGATTTCCACGAAACCTTGGAATCCATCTTTCGTCAATTAATCTGAGTGACAAATGCAACAGACAATGGACGGACTGAAAAGGCAGATTCGCCTAATGTCACTCTGTCACCGGTCTTTCTGATTGCATGTCATTGTACATTACAAAATTGTTGGCATTCGTTGTGCAATCGCTCGGGGATTTGTCAGTGTGTATTGATCAAAGAGGAGTGGATATTGCTAGATTGACGGTTGTAACACAAACAAAACCTTGATGGGGATATGATTCGTTTCGCGGTGAAAATTAACACAGAATAAGTTGAAGAACTATCGGACATGAGAGATCACTGAAGAGCAGCTTCGCCCCTGCGTAAGTTACTTCGAGAGTATGTCGGAACACAATACCGCTTCGATCCCCACATTCCCAAAATCACTTACATCTTAAGTCCTCCAGTCAGCCATAATTTAGAGAACATATTTTATTGCACACACAGACGACAAATTGCTTCACAGAGTGAATAACACTCATTGTAATCTAGTCAATAGTAGCCACAAGAATTTAAAACACACGCAAATTTGATAACATTCTCGTTTGAAATAAAATATTGAATGACTGTCGCATATCTCCTCACGAGCATTTAACACCTCAGTCAATCAGGATGAGTATGAGAGACAGTAAGAATCATGAAAGTAGACAAAATATGATCCAGGATTATTCCACACACACGCGCACAAACATATGAATGTCATACGTTCCTGATGATGTCACCAGCAGCCAGTAACTATCCGACACATAATACAGGGATACAAAATTATCACATGCATCAAAAATCATAACTCACATCCTGATACAATCAATGCGATATAGGCATATTTCAAAGCTTTGCTGCGGAATTTAAAGGTGTATACTGAGTATAGTATGAGCGCGAAGACGAAGGCGAACAAAGCAATGAAGTAGAACGCTTGAGCAGCTTGCAGTAGTTTCGGCTTCGATTCACCTGTTAAACGGTAGGGCGAAGAATTACATTAGCGATTCGCCATTATCATTATTATTGCAATTATTATTATGATTGTTGTGCGAGAGAGTGAGGAAGACATCAGAATAATACATTTTGAAGAGAAATATTGCGAGATGACAGTATCATTTCGTAGTGTATTCACAACTACTTCACAAAGCGTATGTTTCCTAGTAATAAAAATGACTGTCCCCTGGAAAGATAGATTCCATACCAAAGAAGGCTGTCTTTATGAGTCTACCATTCTAGGGTGAGTGAATCATGCAGACAACAGCTAAATTGCTTCGGTCAGCTATCAAGCGCACATTCTACGTCGCATCACTTTTCCTCATAGCTCGAAAATTTTCGATCCCTGTACCTACGACTAAAGGACGAAATTCTGCCAACTCTACTTCACACACACATGTACATAGGTAGGACCAATACAATGTTCCAGTGTTGACCCTGGAAACAACCTGTTCCTGAATAGTTGCCATGTCATACAAGAAACCTAAATATACATAATCTAAGAAGAAATTCGTCATCATGCATTTGTAACGCATTGATTGATGTGTGGTAATGACTGCCTCTCAATTATTTCACATAACTCTTAACCAAGGTTACTGAACAACTTGGCATGCACACACACACTCTCAAGCAGACCACATAGAATGTGGTGAATTCCACCAGTATATATTCGTGTGTGCGCTTGATTGACGAGTGAACAGAAGAGCATGATGTGTTATTTTCAGCAACGTAAATTGTGTGGACACCAAGTCGACAGGATCCGATCACATCTTCACAATGATTCGGTGACAGCAGTCTGTTCTCCATGTCGACGAAATGGTGTTACCCGAAAACTCCGGTTTGTGTCAGTGTGGCTCACAGACATCTACCTACTGTTTCTCCACTCAGTGGATACCCATCAGAGAGTATGTGCATGTTTACCACCGTCTCACTGATTCTCTTGAACACTGTTGTCTAGGAGCGAAGTTGTGAGTGGGAGTAGATGTAGTATGCACGATGCATCAATTCGATCGTGGCAAGTTAAGTGTATATATGAATTACCACTACTGATTGGAATTCAATCTCATGTAATAACCAACTCCTCTATGTTTATATTAATAATTTTCATACTAAAACTCAAATCTGCCTGGTATAAAATTGAGTTCCAACCACACTTGACGATCAGTTAGTACTCGCTGATTGGAACACGAAATCCAGTTGACAAAACAAATAATGTCTTATACGTGGAATAGTTCATAGGATGTATGGATGTTGGAAGGGACTGTAAAATCACAGGACTAGTAGACAAATTAAACAAAAACTTTGCACAACATGGAGTGGAATTCGACAAGACAGAGTTGAATGTTGCAGAGAAAAATTGATTTAGAATGGCAAAAGGGATAATACAGGAGACAGTTCAAAATGAGGATGATAACAATAATAGTAAGAGTAATTGACGTGATAACGGTAGGGTATACAAAGTGAATAGAGGCGATGAACAAGAAGCAGGTTGAAAATATGAATGTGAATAGTCACCATTGAGTATAGACGAATTAAGACAATGCAAGTGGGAGGGATGGAGCAAACTATTTCTGTATACAGTAATCCGGCTTTCCTAATTCGATGACAGAAGCTTCGGAAATACAGATGAGTCGGATACGTGATAATTTAGCAAAATTAATTTTTGTCTTGTAGATGACTATATAAACGAAGAGACTGTAGACGTTTGTTGACCGGTATCGACGATATGTTCAATGGTTGCGCTTCTTATAGCTCGGCTCCCACTTCTTCGTAACCATGCAGGATAGTATTCTTGTACGCTCTTGGACGAAACGCGAGTTGAACGACCAATACACGCAGTTCCACACAACCAGGTGAAGTGATAAATGCACATAGAGTTGGTGAACTGTGGGATCTTATCCATCAGCTTATTGAAAAGTAATGGTTGACTAGAAGACGCTATTATCAGCGATGATATATATATATATATCAGTTCTCCTATATGGATCAGAAACTTGGTGCATGAGCAAAGAACAGCGTTTCTAACATGCCACTGCAGACTTTCATCAACGGCCACCTCCGCTGTCACCATACTGAAGATCAGATAGCCAGTGGGAAGCATTGGCAACAGGAAAGTCTGGGATAGAGAATAAAAGATGCACTGGATGCAGAACTCACTCAGGAGTTAGCTGGACTCACTAAGGGCAAGTCATGTGCTGATCGAATTGCAACTCCACACATCATCACTGGACTGAATCGTAAAGCCAAGAGAAACCTTTACCGCTCTGAAATCAGTTTGGACATCCACCGACATCAGCACAATAAAACAGAATTCACATTTTCATCATCGATTTTAAGTCAGTCAAGGAGTTCTTCCATATGGGTCGGAAATTTGACGTGAGCTCAACGAACCGCATTTCCAACAGCCAGCCGCACACTTCTATCGCTATCTGTCCTCTTCGCTGGCTCAATGTTGGAGGTGTCAGTACAGGTTGGAAAGAATCAAAACCAAGAATCTTCGATAGGCAACGAACCAACCAAGAATCTATTGCTGAACAAATACTCCGAAGGAAATGGAGTGAGATCGGATACACACTGAAGAGACTGTTTGGTGATTTCGTATACTGCGTCATAGATCGTCTGGAATGTGAATACGAAACAAGGAGTGTGGCATCGATCCGAATGTGGTGTGAAGGAGATCAGTGATTATGGACAACCCTGGGGCCGGGTAAAGAGGATCACAGAGAATAGGATGAATTGGAGATTGTGTTGCTGAACAATATAATATACATATATATATACACATATTGTTCACCATTCATGTGATATAGTAACATTTTAGTACAATATTGACACTTCACTTCAGTCACACATTTGAAGCATAGGAAGCATTTCTGTGACAATTTCACTCCCAGACGAAATGTTTTCGTTACAACTCAGAATTGTTCTGTTTGTGAATTTGTGATACTGATTAATATTCAGCAAGGGCCTTATCTGTAAATACGAAACTTCTCTCATTGTCTCATCAGTTTACTTAGGGACTGAAAAGAGTGAACTAGTCATAAAGTCGTGACAAGTAAACGTTTGTGTGTTTCTGGTCACGTCCGCCATTTCGCTTCGCAGTGAAAAGAAAGCAATTCAGATGAGTGTAAAAGAGATCGAGTAAACCTTGTCAGCCTTTCTTCTGCAGTCGCTTCAAACGCGATAACGGCTACTCGTGTCAGGTTTGCATAGATTAACCACCAGACGGACAAAACTCTTTCAATATAGAAAATAATCTCCAACTACACATTTGGAAGATGAAAGGAGTGGATGAAGAAATATCCCATTTTCAAGTTTGACCAAGTTCTGAAATCAGTTAAATAATCATTGGAAACTATCCAGGAAGTACTGGATGGCAACGTCGTCCTTGTTCAGGACTCATTGGCGATATGGAAGGAGAGTTCGAAAGCTAGAGGGAATTGTCAGGCTGTACCAACTTCTTTTGAACACATGTCTTTGTGCTCTCTTCGGGTGGATTCCGATGGCTTCAGCTGTGTGTAGAAGGCGAAGTCGTAAGAGAAAATCAACATTGGTCGGAATTCGATAAATAACTTTGAATGCTGTATTTACACCAACTTCATACTCACCGTCTACATAGTGTGCTAAGTGAGAGATACGAATAGACATTGTTTGTCACTCGCCTAACCAACCATACATGATGATGTTACGAAATGCGACGATGAAGCTGTCTGATTGTACACCCAATCTGCCGGTTCTTAATTACTCATTATTTTTTTCCGAAATTATGCACTATGCAATCCACTTGTTGTAATCACTTCCAACTCATGCCGTGTTGATACTGACTAATTATTGTTAGAATATATATATATATATATAATATTGTAGAATAGTAGTCAATAACAATATCAGTGTTTTCTAAATAATGTCGACTTGTAAAGTAAGATCAACGGAATTACACTTCACTAAAGATGCACAAATTATAATAATAACCAATATATAACAGCGAATAGAATATCAGCTGAAATCAGGGAAATTTCTACAAAACTTGATGATCATTCGAAGCTAGATGGTCAAGGCAAGGACAATGTTTGAATCAGCTTCTTTCGGACATATAAATCAGGCTTCTTGATGTGGATCCCAACAGCCTCAGCAATATTTAGTAATCGAACTCTTAAGGCAAAATTGAGATTTGTTGGTATGCGGTAAATGACTCTGAAAGCCTGATTAACATCAATCTTGTGTTCTGTATCCACAAGATGAGTGAGACAGAATAGCGGTACGAACAGATTTTGTTTGTCCTTTACTTAATCACGCATGGTGATGTTCGGAAATCCGACGACAAACACGTCTAACTGTATGGTCTATGTACATATATAAAATTAAAGCCAGAAGAGGAGGAAATTATCGAAAAGGATATTCTCTGCTCAATTATTTTGTGCTTTATAGATGTCTGAATGAATATTTTCGCTGCATATATATAAGTATACTGGAGTAGAGCCAGAGATGAGGATCTAACTGAAAAGAGAATATTTCTTCACCCACTCCATTTCTATCATGTAAATTGACTTTCAAGTTTCAGAAACTTCCATCCATCGACTACCAACAATTAAGAAACACTCTTCCGACTACTACTCTGAAGTACAATATGCTGAGAAACAAAGAGAAATTCATCGTCATTTTACTCCGTGACTATAACTCACTTTTCAAATAGACACCTCGACCTGCATTAGCGCGTCACTAACACGACAGATAGAGTTCAGCTTGCTTCAACACAGGCAGCAATGCATGCAAATAAAGCTGATATCAAGCGTGTATAAACAAACAAAATAGAACACTGACACTTTCATGATACTTATATACACACAATGTATACGCTTAGCTGATACTGACTCAAGGTGAACTTAGTCAGATAAGATAATCTAGGCGTCATCAAAAAGCAGTATTAATAATAGTAATAACAATAATAAATTTAGAAACGATAGCACTTCGAATACCACTTAAACACTCAACTAATTTCCACAAGCTACAAATCTGTTGAGTGTTATTCAAAAATATATCAAGCTGATTCAGACTGCAAACAAATGACATTCATTTTTCAACTTACTTGTTAGAGTAGTGTCCTCTCCGATCGATGTCGCTGTCAGACTTATGAGTAGCACTAAGCTGACAATGGTGAATAATTGTTCACGATCAAAACTGGCCATCATTATGTTATAGTTAATATTGCCTTCTTTAATCTATACAACGTTGCCTTTCAAGTGAGAAAATGTTGAGTTAAACAACAAGCCAATTTATTGATCTCTCGTTACCTTGTCTTTTTTCACAGATACTGATGACGTCGGTAATGAAGACAGAGACAGGCAAACTTTGTGCCTGAGTTAATTAGACACTAATGCTACTACTACTACTACACGGCTTATATAGGCTCTTGCTGTACACGCATTCACTTGTCAATAACTTTTATTTTTAAATAACTTAGTATAACCTACATTAAATAATGTTTGTGCACTTTAAAATACCATAATCATAGTATTAGCATTATGAGTATGGTAAGTATAGAATAATGACCATTGTTGAAAGGAATCAGCCACACCTACGCAGTGGACTACCCTTTCAGTTGCTTGCAAATCGATGAATAGCACAAGTGTAGAGTGAGTGGTTGTCACACCGTCCATCTATGCAAATCTCATTTGTTAGTAGGAAGCACTGCTAACTGATCTAAGACACACACACAGACACGTAAATTGGTAAATCGTGAGGAAAGTGACCTAATCACTTGTTCACTTCTGAGGTTCGCGATGGAGCATACTTTCGGATTTTTCAATGATTACAAGCTGGGATGCATAACCGGTCCTACGGATGACCGAGTTCAATCTCTGTCTCAAAATCCGATTATTTGTTTCGCCATTGTAAGGTAATTCGATGAAGACATCTTTCTTAGGGGCGGAATAGATTGCAGGTTTCAAGACCAAATGACTTCTACACCTGTAAAACAGTTTTAGAGGATGTCCATCCCTTTTTTCAACAAGAGTAACCACCAGTCTTTCAATTTCCATCCTCTATGAAATCAACCATCGAGACACGCTGGATCTTCTTGAATAAACACTTCACAAAGCCTCTCTTATACTGTAGTGGACTGAAGCTGTGAAAATTTGAGTATTGCTCCGTCCAAGTAGGTGTAATGGATTTTAATAGAACACAATTTGTAAAGATGATAGACATATGTGCTTTTCGTAGATGGATCTTCTCAACAAAATACTTATTTATACTGCGATTTGATAAAAAATCTCACTAACTTGTATAGCTACACTGAACAGGAATACAGTCTGTCTGCCACCAACGTTGTACAATTATAAGGTGATTTCGCCGATATTACTTAGTTTTAGGAAACTTTGTATTCACACAGGAATATGGCACATAATGTCTAACAATATTAGGGTGAAATAGTAAGCCTTATCTTACACAAAAGGATGAAATCAACGGACAAACTAGATATCGTCCACCATGTTGCCTTCCCGCGTTAGAATTGATAACACTTATGGTCAAGCTTTAGACTCACTGCTTATTTCATGCATCTGTATTAACTAAGCTGGCAAGGCGGTGGTTCGTTGTTGAGCAGGCTTTGGGCAGCTCCCTCAATTCCTTTTTTCTATCACATTTATCTATTGAAACCTATTACACCTACTTGGACGGAGCAATACTCAAATTTTCACAGCTTCAGTCCACTACAGTATAAGAGAGGCTTTGTGAAGTGTTTATTCAAGAAGATCCAGCGTGTCTCGATGGTTGATTTCATAGAGGATGGAAATTGAAAGACTGGTGGTTACTCTTGTTGAAAAAAGGGATGGACATCCTCTAAAACTGTTTTACAGGTGTAGAAGTCATTTGGTCTTGAAACCTGCAATCTATTCCGCCCCTAAGAAAGATGTCTTCATCGAATTACCTTACAATGGCGAAACAAATAATCGGATTTTGAGACAGAGATTGAACTCGGTCATCCGTAGGACCGGTTATGCATCCCAGCTTGTAATCATTGAAAAATCCGAAAGTATGCTCCATCGCGAACCTCAGAAGTGAACAAGTGATTAGGTCACTTTCCTCACGATTTACCAATTTACGTGTCTGTGTGTGTGTCTTAGATCAGTTAGCAGTGCTTCCTACTAACAAATGAGATTTGCATAGATGGACAGTGTGACAACCACTCACTCTACACTTGTGCTATTCATCGATTTGCAAGCAACTGAAAGGGTAGTCCACTGCGTAGGTGTGGCTGATTCCTTTCAACAATGGTCATTATTCTATACTTACCATACTCATAATGCTAATACTATGATTATGGTATTTTAAAGTGCACAAACATTATTTAATGTAGGTTATACTAAGTTATTTAAAAATAAAAGTTATTGACAAGTGAATGCGTGTACAGCAAGAGCCTATATAAGCCGTGTAGTAGTAGTAGTAGCATTAGTGTCTAATTAACTCAGGCACAAAGTTTGCCTGTCTCTGTCTTCATTACCGACGTCATCAGTATCTGTGAAAAAAGACAAGGTAACGAGAGATCAATAAATTGGCTTGTTGTTTAACTCAACATTTTCTCACTTGAAAGGCAACGTTGTATAGATTAAAGAAGGCAATATTAACTATAACATAATGATGGCCAGTTTTGATCGTGAACAATTATTCACCATTGTCAGCTTAGTGCTACTCATAAGTCTGACAGCGACATCGATCGGAGAGGACACTACTCTAACAAGTAAGTTGAAAAATGAATGTCATTTGTTTGCAGTCTGAATCAGCTTGATATATTTTTGAATAACACTCAACAGATTTGTAGCTTGTGGAAATTAGTTGAGTGTTTAAGTGGTATTCGAAGTGCTATCGTTTCTAAATTTATTATTGTTATTACTATTATTAATACTGCTTTTTGATGACGCCTAGATTATCTTATCTGACTAAGTTCACCTTGAGTCAGTATCAGCTAAGCGTATACATTGTGTGTATATAAGTATCATGAAAGTGTCAGTGTTCTATTTTGTTTGTTTATACACGCTTGATATCAGCTTTATTTGCATGCATTGCTGCCTGTGTTGAAGCAAGCTGAAGTCTATCTGTCGTGTTAGTGACGCGCTAATGCAGGTCGAGGTGTCTATTTGAACAGTGAGTTATAGTTACGGAGTAAAATGACGATGAATTTCTCTTTGTTTCTCAGTATATTGTACTTCAGAATAGTAGTCGGAAGAGTGTTTCTTAATTGTTGGTAGTCGATGGATGGAAGTTTCTGAAACTTGAAAGTCAATTTACATGATAGAAATGGAGTGGGTGAAGAAATATTCTCTTTTCAGTTAGATCCTCATCTCTGGCTCTACTCCAGTATACTTATATATATGCAGCGAAAATATTCATTCAGACATCTATAAAGCACAAAATAATTGAGCAGAGAATATCCTTTTCGATAATTTCCTCCTCTTCTGGTAATTTATATATGTACATAGACCATACAGTTAGACGTGTTTGTCGTCGGATTTCCGAACATCACCATGCGTGATTAAGTAAAGGACAAACAAAATCTGTTCGTACCGCTATTCTGTCTCACTCATCTTGTGGATACAGAACACAAGATTGATGTTAATCAGGCTTTCAGAGTCATTTACCGCATACCAACAAATCTCAATTTTGCCTTAAGAGTTCGATTACTAAATATTGCTGAGGCTGTTGGGATCCACATCAAGAAGCCTGATTTATATGTCCGAAAGAAGCTGATTCAAACATTGTCCTTGCCTTGGCCATCTAGCTTCGAATGATCATCAAGTTTTGTAGAAATTTCCCTGATTTCAGTTGATATTCTATTCGCTGTTATATATTGGTTATTATTATAATTTGAGCATCTTTAGTGAAGTGTAATTCCGTTGATCTTACTTTACAAGTCGACATTATTTAGAAAACACTGATATTGTTATTGACTACTATTCTACAATATTATATATATATATATGCTAACAATAATTAGTCAGTATCAACACGGCATGAGTTGGAAGTGATTACAACAAGTGGATTGCATAGTGCATAATTTCGGAAAAAAATAATGAGTAATTAAGAACCGGCAGATTGGGTGTACAATCAGACAGCTTCATCGTCGCATTTCGTAACATCATCATGTATGGTTGGTTAGGCGAGTGACAAACAATGTCTATTCGTATCTCTCACTTAGCACACTATGTAGACGGTGAGTATGAAGTTGGTGTAAATACAGCATTCAAAGTTATTTATCGAATTCCGACCAATGTTGATTTTCTCTTACGACTTCGCCTTCTACACACAGCTGAAGCCATCGGAATCCACCCGAAGAGAGCACAAAGACATGTGTTCAAAAGAAGTTGGTACAGCCTGACAATTCCCTCTAGCTTTCGAACTCTCCTTCCATATCGCCAATGAGTCCTGAACAAGGACGACGTTGCCATCCAGTACTTCCTGGATAGTTTCCAATGATTATTTAACTGATTTCAGAACTTGGTCAAACTTGAAAATGGGATATTTCTTCATCCACTCCTTTCATCTTCCAAATGTGTAGTTGGAGATTATTTTCTATATTGAGAGTGTTGTCCGTCTGCTGGTTAATCTATGCAAACCTGACACGAGTAGCCGTTATCGCGTTTGAAGCGACTGCAGAAGAAAGGCTGACAAGGTTTACTCGATCTCTTTTACACTCATCTGAATTGCTTTCTTTTCACTGCGAAGCGAAATGGCGGACGTGACCAGAAACACACAAACGTTTACTTGTCACGACTTTATGACTAGTTCACTCTTTTCAGTCCCTAAGTAAACTGATGAGACAATGAGAGAAGTTTCGTATTTACAGATAAGGCCCTTGCTGAATATTAATTAGTATTATAAATTCACAAACAGAATAATTCTGAGTTGTAACGAAAACATTTCGTCTGGGAGTGAAATTGTCACAGAAATGCTTCCTATGCTTCAAATGTGTGACTGAAGTGAAGTGTCAATATTGTACTAAAATGTTACTATATCACATGAATGGTGAACAATATGTGTATATATATGTATATTATATTGTTCAGCAACACAATCTCCAATTCATCCTATTCTCTGTGATCCTCTTTACCTGGCCCCAGGGTTGTCCATAATCACTGATCTCCTTCACACCACATTCGGATCGATGCCACACTCCTTGTTTCGTATTCACATTCCAGACGATCTATGACGCAGTATACGAAATCACCAAACAGTCTCTTCAGTGTGTATCCGATCTCACTCCATTTCCTTCGGAGTATTTGTTCAGCAATAGATTCTTGGTTGGTTCGTTGCCTATCGAAGATTCTTGGTTTTGATTCTTTCCAACCTGTACTGACACCTCCAACATTGAGCCAGCGAAGAGGACAGATAGCGATAGAAGTGTGCGGCTGGCTGTTGGAAATGCGGTTCGTTGCGCTCACGTCAAATTTCCGACCCATATGGAAGAACTCCTTGACTGACTTAAAATCGATGATGAAAATGTGAATTCTGTTTTATTGTGCTGATGTCGGTGGATGTCCAAACTGATTTCAGAGCGGTAAAGGTTTCTCTTGGCTTTACGATTCAGTCCAGTGATGATGTGTGGAGTTGCAATTCGATCAGCACATGACTTGCCCTTAGTGAGTCCAGCTAACTCCTGAGTGAGTTCTGCATCCAGTGCATCTTTTATTCTCTATCCCAGACTTTCCTGTTGCCAATGCTTCCCACTGGCTATCTGATCTTCAGTATGGTGACAGCGGAGGTGGCCGTTGATGAAAGTCTGCAGTGGCATGTTAGAAACGCTGTTCTTTGCTCATGCACCAAGTTTCTGATCCATATAGGAGAACTGATATATATATATATATATCATGGCTGATAATAGCGTCTTCTAGTCAACCATTACTTTTCAATAAGCTGATGGATAAGATCCCACAGTTCACCAACTCTATGTGCATTTATCACTTCACCTGGTTGTGTGGAACTGCGTGTATTGGTCGTTCAACTCGCGTTTCGTCCAAGAGCGTACAAGAATACTATCCTGCATGGTTACGAAGAAGTGGGAGCCGAGCTATAAGAAGCGCAACCATTGAACATATCGTCGATACCGGTCAACAAACGTCTACAGTCTCTTCGTTTATATAGTCATCTACAAGACAAAAATTAATTTTGCTAAATTATCACGTATCCGACTCATCTGTATTTCCGAAGCTTCTGTCATCGAATTAGGAAAGCCGGATTACTGTATACAGAAATAGTTTGCTCCATCCCTCCCACTTGCATTGTCTTAATTCGTCTATACTCAATGGTGACTATTCACATTCATATTTTCAACCTGCTTCTTGTTCATCGCCTCTATTCACTTTGTATACCCTACCGTTATCACGTCAATTACTCTTACTATTATTGTTATCATCCTCATTTTGAACTGTCTCCTGTATTATCCCTTTTGCCATTCTAAATCAATTTTTCTCTGCAACATTCAACTCTGTCTTGTCGAATTCCACTCCATGTTGTGCAAAGTTTTTGTTTAATTTGTCTACTAGTCCTGTGATTTTACAGTCCCTTCCAACATCCATACATCCTATGAAGTATTCCACGTATAAGACATTATTTGTTTTGTCAACTGGATTTCGTGTTCCAATCAGCGAGTACTAACTGATCGTCAAGTGTGGTTGGAACTCAATTTTATACCAGGCAGATTTGAGTTTTAGTATGAAAATTATTAATATAAACATAGAGGAGTTGGTTATTACATGAGACTGAATTCCAATCAGTAGTGGTAATTCATATATACACTTAACTTGCCACAATCGAATTGATGCATCGTGCATACTACATCTACTCCCACTCACAACAGTGTTCAAGAGAATCAGTGAGACGGTGGTAAACATGCACATACTCTCTGATGGGTATCCACTGAGTGGAGAAACAGTAGGTAGATGTCTGTGAGCCACACTGACACAAACCGGAGTTTTCGGGTAACACCATTTCGTCGACATGGAGAACAGACTGCTGTCACCGAATCATTGTGAAGATGTGATCGGATCCTGTCGACTTGGTGTCCACACAATTTACGTTGCTGAAAATAACACATCATGCTCTTCTGTTCACTCGTCAATCAAGCGCACACACGAATATATACTGGTGGAATTCACCACATTCTATGTGGTCTGCTTGAGAGTGTGTGTGTGCATGCCAAGTTGTTCAGTAACCTTGGTTAAGAGTTATGTGAAATAATTGAGAGGCAGTCATTACCACACATCAATCAATGCGTTACAAATGCATGATGACGAATTTCTTCTTAGATTATGTATATTTAGGTTTCTTGTATGACATGGCAACTATTCAGGAACAGGTTGTTTCCAGGGTCAACACTGGAACATTGTATTGGTCCTACCTATGTACATGTGTGTGTGAAGTAGAGTTGGCAGAATTTCGTCCTTTAGTCGTAGGTAAAGGGATCGAAAATTTTCGAGCTATGAGGAAAAGTGATGCGACGTAGAATGTGCGCTTGATAGCTGACCGAAGCAATTTAGCTGTTGTCTGCATGATTCACTCACCCTAGAATGGTAGACTCATAAAGACAGCCTTCCTTGGTATGGAATCTATCTTTCCAGGGGACAGTCATTTTTATTACTAGGAAACATACGCTCTGTGAAGTAGTTGTGAATACACTACGAAATGATACTGTCATCTCGCAATATTTCTCTTCAAAATGTATTATTCTGATGTCTTCCTCACTCTCTCGCACAACAATCATAATAATAATTGCAATAATAATGATAATGGCGAATCGCTAATGTAATTCTTCGCACTACTGTTTAACAGGTGAATCGAAGCCGAAACTACTGCAAGCTGCTCAAGCGTTCTACTTCATTGCTTTGTTCGCCTTCGTCTTCGCGCTCATACTATACTCAGTATACACCTTTAAATTCCGCAGCAAAGCTTTGAAATATGCCTATATCGCATTGATTGTATCAGGATGTGAGTTATGATTTTTGATGCATGTGATAATTTTGTATCCCTGTATTATGTGTCGGATAGTTACTGGCTGCTGGTGACATCATCAGGAACGTATGACATTCATATGTTTGTGCGCGTGTGTGTGGAATAATCCTGGATCATATTTTGTCTACTTTCATGATTCTTACTGTCTCTCATACTCATCCTGATTGACTGAGGTGTTAAATGCTCGTGAGGAGATATGCGACAGTCATTCAATATTTTATTTCAAACGAGAATGTTATCAAATTTGCGTGTGTTTTAAATTCTTGTGGCTACTATTGACTAGATTACAATGAGTGTTATTCACTCTGTGAAGCAATTTTTCGTCTGTGTGTGCAATAAAATATGTTCTCTAAATTATGGCTGACTGGAGGACTTAAGATGTAAGTGATTTCGGGAATGTGGGGATCGAAGCGGTATTGTGTTCCGACATACTCTCGAAGTAACTTACGCAGGGGCGAAGCTGCTCTTCAGTGATCTCTCATGTCCGATAGTTCTTCAACTTATTCTGTGTTAATTTTCACCGCGAAACGAATCATATCCCCATCAAGGTTTTGTTTGTGTTACAACCGTCAATCTAGCAATATCCACTCCTCTTTGATCAATACACACTGACAAATCCCCGAGCGATTGCACAACGAATGCCAACAATTTTGTAATGTACAATGACATGCAATCAGAAAGACCGGTGACAGAGTGACATTAGGCGAATCTGCCTTTTCAGTCCGTCCATTGTCTGTTGCATTTGTCACTCAGATTAATTGACGAAAGATGGATTCCAAGGTTTCGTGGAAATCGGTAGACACTGTAATATGTCCAACATGTTACTGCTAACATACGCATGTTTGATTCATTCCGTTTGTCTACCTAAATCATGGGACATTGGTTTCATGTCTCCACACTGTTAAACTACATCATTCAATGTGAATCTTGCTTTACAGAGTTGTGTCTTTCTAGCATGTTTCAAGCATGACATCATCAAAGCGGAATGCATCTCAGGACTACCTTCAATTACACTGACTTGCCCATCCCCATTCGTCATGCTTGTATTTATGTGTGAAGCTAAGTGGACGTGTGCATGATCATGCCTTCGCCAATGGCTTTGAATAAAATGTAGTAGAGTATTGCTCAGCAAAAACGTTTTGACACGGACTCATCTTTGTGACAACTCGTATACGACTGATTGATTGAGATGAGTAGTTGTGTACCACTCACATCAGACAGCAGTGCTCACTGGCCAGCTAGGCAGATCGAGGTGATCAAACCGTCAGACGGTAGTTTCCTTCATTTTGCACCGAGCTCGCCACCGCTATGAATCCCGGCTGACTCAATTCAGAGATAGAGTTAATTGGGTGAACTGGTCACTCAATAGATCAGATTCACGATTTGTTAATTAGTTAGCGATTTGCCATTTCCACCACACTTCTCATCGGAAACCGAAATTTTTCAGATCACACACACACAGCATAAGATCCGTTTCATACTGTAAATGGCAATGAAGAGGGCGAGCATATTCGCATAAAACGGTATACTACAGATTCATTCAGACGACTGGTTGTATACCAGTCACATCTCAAACGGTGATGTTTTGTGTTTCCCCAAGAAAACTGTTGTGAAATGTTCCTTCCGTTGAACTGTATCCACTGTCAATTACTTACTAATTTGTGAATAGTGAAGTGTACTTAGCAATGTATCTTGATTACCGAAAATCTTCTTATAATCACCTAGATCTACCTACCGGCCTATATCACTGCCTAAACTATTTCAGAAGGCACAGATCACTACTGTTGGATAATTTCCCTACCTCGTAATTCACATCAACAGCTTGGAGCATGACAGTCACACTTCAGCATAAATATGTACAATATGAAGTTGATATATTTTGCAAACATCAAGTTAATCAGTGTAGCCTCATTTATCTAATAATAATCATTGCTCACCTGTCTTATTTCGCCTATCTATATGATTAATTCTTTTGACTGTTTTTTTTCCAGTTGTGTGTGCAGTACTCAGTGTTATCATGTACTATCAAGCATTCTCCGAATATCGTACAGTTAAACCGGAATCGAATTCATGGCTGATTGCAGCTATAATGGCGGCCTTCCAATTGAGTGTGTATGTATTCATGTACCATTTAAATTAGACGCCTCACTGACTGTCCAATTAGTATTTATTCACTGGACGATTCAAACAAAATCCATGACAGTAACAGTATTCATAAACATGTTTTGAGAAGAACTCATTCTACTTCCTTAACTGTGTAATTCATTTAGATTTTAGAAACAAACAACTTTACTATTAACACTCATTTTTTAAAATAATAATGTTTCCACAAAGTATACATATTAGATCATGGGAATTAATGAAAAGGCTGTTGCAGTGATAAGAATTTTCTTCTCGACCTAGTCATCGTCAACTAGGCTGTAAATTCGTGTATTTATAGTAAGTGGGTGAGAAAGTCCTGGAACTATTTCTCGTCGAGGGTCAAATTAATAAAATTACAAAGGGTGGTAAACAGGAAGATCGGAGAAATAACACAGTAAGAGACGATGCTCACTGAGAAGCTTAACTCTTTTTGTACAACAAAGGATTAAGGATGTTGCAATAATTAAATAGGCCGGAAGTTCGCATAAAAAGCATAGTAATGCAGCGAGGAATTCAAAACACATTGAAATAACAGAAATAGCCAGAAGGGTTGGATAAGAAAGGTAATGGGATAAAGAGTATTCAGAGAATTGAACATTTCGTGGTGGCGACGGCTGGACAGACATATTTCTTTTGAATACATAGCGTGTCATTGGAGTTTTTGATCGCTAGTGCCTCAGCTATGCTCAGCCAGATGCTTTGATTTCACTCCTATTGAGAGATTTGATGGGATCTCTTATATGACTTTGAAGGACTTCTCAAATGCAGATGAATGTCCTGAATTCACCAGGTGTTGTATTACCGAGCTATATTCACCTTTTTCGTTCTCCCTTTCCTAACCATGCTGGATAGTGTTCCCGAGCGCGTTTTGCAAGCGGACATATGTTATGACCAATGCACTCAGCTCCACACGAGCAAGTGAACTGGTATATGTGTCTTGAAGTGGCTCAGTGCTACAGCTTGTCTTTCACACACTGCTTGAATAGTTACTCGCAGAAAAGTGTTACTCGTAGGCTGGTGGCGAAGTATGTCCTTCTGAGAGATTTAGAAAGCCGTCTACAAGGGAGTTCTGCTTCAGTACCACTTTTGAATTCTAAGTTAGGCATTTGCATCTTTCTGGCGGGCGAAATGGAAATTTCCAATCGCTTTTTCTTGTTTCGGTTATGGATCCTCACCTATGAATGTGAGTGAAGGCACACCATTTTCTATCAAGATTCCTCGTAGATTTCACAATTCCGCGTCATCTGACTCTTTGCTGCATAATTTCCGGATCCTCGAGCAAAGACAGAGTGGAATATCCGGGGTTTCTCGTTCTGCATACAGGAACACAATTTGTAAAGATGATAGACATTTGTGCTTTTCGTAGATGGATCTTCTCAACAAAATACTTATTTATACTGCGATTTGATAAAAAATCTCACGAACTTGTATAGCTACACTGAACAGGAATACAGTCTGTCTGCCACCAACGTTGTACAATTATAAGGTGATTTCGCCGATATTACTTAGTTTTAGGAAACTTTGTATTCACACAGGAATATGGCACATAATGTCTAACAATATTAGGGTGAAATAGTAAGCCTTATCTTACACAAAAGGATGAAATCAACGGACAAACTAGATATCGTCCACCATGTTACCTTTCCGCGTTAGAATTGATAACACTTATGGTCAAGCTTTAGACTCACTGCTTATTTCATGCATCTGTATTAACTAAGCTGGCAAGGCGGTGGTTCGTTGTTAAGCAGGCTTTGGGCAGCTCCCTCAATTCCTTTTTCCTATCACATTTATCTATTGAAACCTATTACACCTACTTGGACGGAGCAATACTCAAATTTTCACAGCTTCAGTCCACTACAGTATAAGAGAGGCTTTGTGAAGTGTTTATTCAAGAAGATCCAGCGTGTCTCGATGGTTGATTTCATAGAGGATGGAAATTAAGAGATTGATGGATACTCTTGTTGAAAAAAGGGATGGACATCCTCTAAAACTGTTTTACAGGTGTAGAAGTCATTTGGTCTTGAAACCTGCAATCTATTCCGCCCCTAAGAAAGATGTCTTCATCGAATTACCTTACAATGGCGAAACAAATAATCGGATTTTGAGACAGAGATTGAACTCGGTCATCCGTAGGACCGGTTATGCATCCCAGCTTGTAATCATTGAAAAAGCCAAAAGTATGCTCCATCGCGAACCTCAGAAGTGAGCAAGTGATTAGGTCACTTTCCTCACGATTTACCAATTTACGTGTCTGTTTGTGTGTGTGTGTGTGTGGAAACACACGCATAGGCAGGATTAATGGCGTTTCGCATGTGAGAGTGTGAGAGCATATTCCGAAATGGTGAGGAAGACAGGTGAACATTGGAAAACTCGATGGAATCGAGTGGTAGCCTATCGAACATCGAATCAACATGAATCATAATACTGATGTTGACACAGCTATTGAGGTCATCTATAGAAGTGGTCAAGGGCGACTATTGAAATACGCTGAGAGCAAAACACTTCATAAACTCAAGCCCCTCTCCTGTGTGTTCATAAACAATTGATTAATACTCCCAACCTACCTTGGTATTCCTAAACTGATTGGATAGCCATGCGTTGTGTTAATTATTCTTATTATTGTTAAATGTGTTTCGCCACTTTGTGTACTTCAATTGGCTTTTGTTTTCATATAAATTGACTAGACAAGTGAATGTGTGTATGTGTGTGTGTGACCAGAATGTTCGAAGTATATTGCTCAAATACATCACATGGCCTGTGTATTCTAACTTCTCCCTGATGACCTTGTAGTAAGCTGGCGTAAGCAAGGAGTATGAATGTGGAGGTGTATGCCTACTCGATATACAACCGTAAATGACTCATCTATTTTGATGAAACGTATATTCTGTTGATTGGAAATGCATTAGTATGTCACCCAAATCACATCTAATCTTATACATTCAATTGACACTGCTAGCTAACGGACTATCATTCCATCTTATACATGTACGCCAATACAGACAGTTTCTGATATAATTTTCATTTGCCTCTAACTGGCCATTTGTATTCTAATTTTTCACGGATTTATAACTCCACAGCCTGAGGAAGAAGTTATCGATAACAATATCTCCCTCAAAATCATCTTGATTAGATTCAAATAATTGTAACTTCCGTAATTGTACTGGATGTTATTCGAGGTGGTTTCATCTCTGCTCAACGCAGACTATAGGGAACCAGTTTGAAAACAGAATTTGACAACAGCTTAACTCTGGGAAGTTCAACGAACCAAACTAGTGGTAATAGATTAAATTATACCGAAAGTCAACAAATCACTTGATTTGGCGTCTTCAGTTTTCCTCGTTTTCGAATTGGTTATCGTAATCGGCAGAGCAGAGGTCGAAAGGGCTGAATCCTTCACCAATATTTCCGTCTTAGCTACTCTTATAATGAATGTTGTGATGCGCAAAATACAGTAGAGTCAGGTCATAAACGAGAGGATTGAGAGGACAGGTAGTGGGAGAGAGTACAGATATGTCTATCAGACAGTGACTTACTCCTTTCACAATCTCCTCATGACATTCAGTGTCGAGAAGGAACAAACTGTAAGGTGATAGCCAAGTTCTAAGTCTGAATGAGGACACGCTGACAATGCCTTCAACCTGAAACCAGTCGGGTTTTATTAAGAGTTGCTGTCTAATGTGACAACGACAAATGACGTCCATCAGGGATGTCTCGTTTCATAGTTCATATATAGTTTCACCAATGAGGTGATAACAGACGTTGTGCTGCAGCTCTCCGTGTATTCCACTCGGAACCGAACAGAATAAACATAACAATAGTGATAATAATAATAATAGTAATCTGGCCTGTCCCTAGTTCAAAATATCTGCCTGCTATCTGCGTCCATCTAATCAGAGTGTGAGTTATTTGAGTCGATAAATTCTCGTGGAACTTCGTGTATTGGTCGTTCAACTCGCGTTTCGTCCAAGTGCGTACAAGAATACTATCTTGCACGGTAACGAAGAAGTGGGAGCTGAGCTTTATGAGGCGCAATCATGGAACATCTCGTGGATACTGGTCACCCTACACCTATAGTCTCTCCGAATTTAGTCATCTACACGGCAAATATGATTTTTCCAATTCATTACGTATCCGAGTCATCTGTATTGCTGAAGCTTCGGTCATCGAAATACGAAAGCCTCCAACTATCATGGTCTTAATCCGTCTGTGATAAATCATGATAATCCTCATTCATATTTTAGACCCGCTTATTATTCGTCGCCTTTATTCAATTTGTATACCCTTCCGTTATTGCGTCAGTTACTATTACTATTATTGTTATCATCATCAATTTGAACTGTCTCCCGTATTATTTCACTAGCCGCCCTTGTCAATCGAAATCAATTTTCATTTGCAACGCTGAACGCTTTGTTATTGAATTCCACTCGATATTATGCGAAGTTATTGTTTCATTCGCCCACTGATCCTGTGATTTTACCGCCCCTTTCCAACATCTATACATCCTATGAACTATTCCACGTGTATGACATGATTTGTTTTGCCACTTGACATTGGACATTCAACTAGGATTATAATCACAAACGTTTTTATCGCATTTCGTACTTCCATCATTATTCTATGGATTCACACCTTTGTTTGAATTACCTCACAGAATATAATTTCTTGATAGCCATCTTTATACGATTGTACAGCTTGATGATAAATCCCTTTGAAAAAAGAGTCTCTTCACTGAATTACTTGTCTGAACTTTCTTTAAATACGAAACCAGTAGGCCAATTCATTTCGGAGCAATAGTAAACGGGAGGTGAATTTATACTTACAGGATGAAGGGCCATCCTTGAAAAGCTGACGTAATGAGGTATTTATAAATTCAGAGACTACACAGCAGTCCAGGTCAGCAATGGTGGCTTGCTGGTACTGTTAGAGGAAAGCGGAATAAAAAAGCAACTAGAAGATATCTAGTCACAAGGAATACCAATAGCCTTATTCAATGACAAA